AGAATTTATGTTTGAAATAGCTGTTCTTTTCTCTCCTAATTTTCGCTTTAGGTCTTTAGATGTATATACGTTAGACCTATGCTTTTATATCTCCCACATGCTGGAATATTACAAACCAGTTTCTATATTGAAACTTCTCCTATGCCTAGGAACAGTATGTCAACTATGATATTCAATACTGCTTCTTACTGAAAAAATCTAGAAACAAAGTGATCCCTCGGAAGCATTAATCACTACAAAATTACATGAAAATTGCAGTCTCGATTTAATTAGTGTGTACATGAGGGAAAATGAATGAGTGCAACATCCCTCACGCCCCTTAGCACCGGCTTGAGCATTTCTTAATTCTCAACACTTAATAGTGCTGGCATCAATGATCCCGGAAGGCCAGCACTGCTTGTTGTGTAATGTCACTTGTATAATTTGATAATGTCATTATACCGAATATGTTTTAATTGGTAGCAAAGAAAAAATAAAACGTCCAGTTATTATTTTATTTTTTAATGAAATGAAAAACACTTTTGCAATTTTATTTTCATTTTGGCAACGATTTGTGTGAAGAGTTGATTTGAGTATAAGTCAATGAAATCTTGCTGAAATGATAAAAGGTGGTATTTCTACTTATATCTCAAATAAAAAGTACTCGTTTTTAAGAAGAAAACTATGCGTTATTTCCAAAACCTTAGGCAAATACATAACCATTTATTATATTCGTAAAGAATTATTTTTCTTATGAATGCTATGTAGAAGACAAATGCTTTCTCCCTGGACAAAACACCTTAAAATTGCTTCTGTCTGTTTAAAACAATGTTTATGTAAAACAATGTTACAGGTTGTAATAAATAACAACAACAGTAATGGGTTAACGTCTTCGAATAGGTATGATTATAGTATGCTTAAAAAAGAACGTTGACATTTTCTTCACAAAATTCCTTCTTTTTTATAACTGATAATTAACTAATAGCATATTTATTTAATCATTTTATTTAAACAACAAAAACATGGAATAGTCTTTTTATTGTTGTATTTTTTTCTATTATTAATCTTATATAAAAATGGAATTTATAAAGTTATCGCAACATTTGTTTTGCTGCTGTTGCTATTGTTACCATGACAATACCATTTTGCTTAATAATAGCATTGCACAAAAGTGAGATATTTTGGCAAAGCTACTGTGCTGTAAATCTTAATAAAATCATCTTAATTTAAGTCTAAATACATTGACTTAAATAGAACTCAGCATTGTCTCAATTCTGAGTGCCTAAACTTTCTCTTACTTTAACTTGATACATAAAAATTGTGGTAAATATTCCGAAGTATTCTTACATTCTGTTAGTGTTATTAGAAAGAATTGAACAACCGCACACTATATCAATGTAGATTTTGTTAGTGTAAGCTAAATCTACTTAATAGAATGAAGCTATTTCAAAGATAGTGCAACATATTTTATGGTTATTTCTCTTTAACTGATATAATACCTCATACATACTCATAAAACTTTAGTGTAAGTATTTTCGAGACAGCTTCGTAAAATCAAGATATTCACCAAAAGGTGATATCATAAAATATTCATAAAAGGTTAGAAATAAGCCGTATTTATCCCTTATATCTTGTGTTTATGTGTTTTCTCAGTTGTTTTATTCAACAAGAAAGTGAAAAAGTAATTATCTAATCTTCTTAAAAAGTAATAAAATGATACGATTTTTTAAAAATACTCTGAATTGAATGCGAGATGTATTTATCACCTTGAAAGACGAAAATTGTAACTAAATCTTTTTGTTGAAATTGCTCTCGGAATCATTTATCCGCCATATTTTTCCCCAATTTATGTGCGTTTAAAGTCACGATTTTTTCCAAAGGTTTGTTTGTTTTACAAAACATGTGCTTGTAAATGAAAAAACTTACAATGAATGATTAAAATAATTTACAGAAGAATTATTTAAATGGAAGAAATTAAGAATGTTTCCAGTAAATAAAGCAAACCTGTTCGTAGTTTTAATATTATCCTCCAACAACTCGTGTTGAATTACATTACAAACGTTGAAGTTGTTCCGAAATGAAGACATCCTTGTCCCTGTAGAATTGCCTCAATTGTATAGTATCTTATTCTTTCGCAAGGCTTTTTAAATCGTTGAAAATATTTTCGGTCATTTTTAATACGTAAACATTAAGTAATATCATATAAAGTACGAATTACAATTTAATTAATTCATTAAAGTTTAATATATTAAAATGGAAAATTGTTGGCAATCCTCTAAAGTTGCACCAGAAAGCGTGCTGTATTGATGATAATAAGGATTATTATTCTAAATGATTTAAATCTCGATGGCACATATTATGATTGTTTAGCATTTTGTAATGTTTTTGCAAAGAATTAATCTAATTATAACTTATCAGTGCAATAAATGTAGTCAGACAAAAACATGGATTACTTAATGACATCATTAACCATGTCTTTGTGAGCGTTGATCTTTCATATAATTATTATAGTTAGTTATCTTCTTTATCTCGTTAACCAGATATTTGTTGCTATTGTTTTATGAGAAAAATACTTTCACGCATTATTTATGCGCTGAGCGCAATAAAATGTTTCATTACCTTCTCGATAATGAGCATTTCGTTCTTTTTTTTATATAACCTTACATCTGTTTGAATGTTTTACAGGGAAAAAATGCATGAATAGGAAATCAAATAGGTGGATAGAAAAAAACCCACATAAATACGTCATTAGTCTTATGTTTAATCTTATTATCTGCATATTAGATTGGTATAATATTCGATATCACAATGCAATCTTATCGGTCGTTGCGTTTGTTTTATGTCTGTAGATAACAAGATGCAATTGTACATAATTTTCAGGTTTATCACCTTAGGCTTTCATTTAGGTTTCCACTTCTGTTTCGTGACACATTTCTTAATTGTTTTTTATTTTAAAACTCTCTTTTTGATACCTGTTTGGGCTACAATTCAGTGTTAATAAACGAGTCAATGTTTGCGTAATTGTAACGTTGTAAACATCAATATGAACGTAGGATTAGAATTGTAATTTACCATGATTTATTGTAATAGAATGCAGTTTTCTCCTTTGAGCGTGAATGGTCGTGCTATCAATGAACAAGATGTTTGAAAAAAATAGAGATTATTAAAATAATCTAAATCATTAGGTAAAGAATTTTGTTGTATGAAATACAATTTGTTCTGAATATTCTATTCAATATAATTCATTCTTCAGTTCTTTTACTAAACTTGATTAAAAAGAAGTAAATAAAGTACGCACTTTATCTGCATCCATAGTTGTAACACAAGAGGTATTTTATCGTTATATGTTATATTTAGATTAACTATTACATTGTTTTGATGATGGGGCATACTAATTATCGAAGATTATATATATCTGCTGCTTGAATATTCTTAACTTTAAGGACTTTCAATCTGAAACCATTTTAATAAATTTCCCTTTCAAAATTCCATGTTATCAAGTTCCCCCCAGTTTTTACTCGTTTATAGCATACATATTCCTTTACTACGGGACAATACGCCGTTTCTCATGGAATGGCACTATTGTGTCACATTGAAGGTTCCATAATGACCGCTGTATGAACACATCTGCGGATGTTTCTAAATTCATAATTTCACCATGCTTGTGTTTAAATGTTGAATTCTGCTTAAGCCGGTGCTAGAGGGCGTGAACGATAAAATGCAATTTCCAGTACCGTCCATCAACAGGCTTAATCAAACCGAACCTGCAACTTTTTCAATTTTGCCGTGTTGGGCTTTCTTTAGGGGTTTTGTTTTTCTCTCGTATATGACAAGTGTTTGATAAAAATCAAATATTGAAATATAAGTTCAGTTCATTTTAATATCAATTTCAAACTGCAAATATAAAACATGTATTTTAAAATTTTCAATAACTGATGTATGTGTTATTAATAGGGTAATACATAATAATGGTAAAACTGATTTTTTGACTATGTTTAAGGTAAATGTATTTGGCTATTAGTTAAAACAAGATTTGTTATAACAAATTATTAGCACTGGCCTAACAATAGTTTGACAACTATCATATGCAAAGTAAACTTCATCCGCTGCATATTGACACAGGGATTCAAATCACGATCAAATTACACCTACTTAATCAAAATTTGTTCAAATGAATTTTGCATTGTCTAATTCGATAAATCTGTTGGATTGATTTAATGTGCACATGTGGCGAAATAATTGACTGCTTGACTAACATTCTGGCTTTTTTTTCCAAACCTGTCTTTAAACGTTCACGTTAGTCAAATTTTCTTACGTACAAATAGTAAAAGGAAAACATCCGAATAACATACGCTTCATGGTTGATATCAGTAATAAAATTAAATGTGAAAATCTATTGTAAATCATAAATTTTGGTACAAACAATTAACTTCAGTCAGACTGAAGGCGATGTGATGTTATTTAAATGATTTTAAAGTATACATTTCTTACAGTAAACAAAACATGTACAATGTTCATGGTTATTATCATATGATTTTACCTATATAAGAATTCCTTGTTTCATATCTGTTAATTTTGGCAATTGCAATATACCTGCAAAAGCTATCATTGACAGGTATAACTTTTGTAAGTTATGCAATATTGAAAATAGATTAACCTAATCTATCTTTGCCTAATATCCAAAGATAAAACGAGTGAATACTGCGATACATGTCTGATCTAGTTACAAATGAAAGATCAATTGTACATTTACTATATAGAAAATTAAAATTATATTATTTATACATTGTAACATTGTACCTATTTCCTAAATCATAAATATATACTGCCATATATGACTGTTTAAATTCTACTGAAACAATAAAAATACAGAAGCATTCAATGTACAAACAAAAAACAACTAAAAAGAAATTTGATTTGTATATTGTCTACATGTCACAATGGATTGTAGTAAAAATATATTGTATCTCTATACGTTTTGTTGTCTAAATTAAACTTGTATAATTATTGTATAATTTCAGCACTGTCAGTTCGTTTTATCACCAAACGATTCATAGGAGAGTATGACCAGTCGACAGAAAATAAGTATAAATATAGAACAGTTGTGGATGGAGAGGAGATGGCCTTTGAAGTCCTTGATACACGATCATTGGTATATACATACATAGAATTGTCTGTATGTTGTGTAATTGTTACCTTTTTAATAAAAAGGTCTTTATGTTGAGATTATTAGTGTATGTAAGTACCAGCCTGTTTGTTGTGTACATAAGTGCATGCGTGCGTGCGTCTGTTATGAGGATGTTTAAGTCATAGGTTGCATATACATTTTACACCATCGATAAGAAATAAGAGAGGGTTAATTTGTTAAAATAAATATATTGGAAAATTAAGGTATGGGATATATTTGTTAAACTTGACAAAGGATGCTAGGGGCGAGTTGGATATTGCCATTTCACATAATCCCTCATGAACAGATTCAAACAAACCAATTGTGCAAGTTTCATATGATTTTATTGTTTCACTGCGTTCGAGGGTTCATCCCTTTTCCAGATTTTGTTTGACTGGACGTTAAGTATCTTCTCCTAAATAAACTGTTTTTTTTGTCATTTTACCATAAATTAAGTGAATATTTAGTTCACAAAATTTGTAATTGATATTTCTAGAAAAAGTATGGCTGACATTATGTATTTTGTAAAAATATTTTAGAATGAAGATTGTGGGGCAAGAGAGGATGTTTTACGCTGGGCGGATGGATATGTACTGGTTTATTCAATGATTTGTCGGAAGTCCTATTTGATGTTACAAGAAGTACAAAAGAAGGTTGAAGAATTTCGAAAAGGAACTAGTATACCAATCGTTGTTATTGGAAACAAAGCGGACCTAGCTCATATGCGTCAGGTTACACATGAAGAAGGTGAGCAAAAATTGTTTTTGAGTGTAAAATACGTAAATTGAACTTTCAGGTGTTACTAAAAAAACACCCGTAAACTTACGAAAATTCAATTACTACATTAAATTGTGAATAACAAACAATTTTTCATTTCATTTTCTTTAGAATAACAACCACGTGCACGAACCTTTGATAATATGTTTTAAGTTTATAATTGATTGCATTCATTAAACAATCATTAAAATATGAAGAAAAAAACATTGGATAATATTATAATATTTGGCAAGTACAGCAAGAGTGTCATATAAAATTATTAAAAACAAATTCCTGAATACAATTGAATATAATATGTTTTCCATTCACAGGTCAAACGTTTGCTGAATCACTGGGTTGTCCGTTTCTGGAGGTATCAGCGTCTGAAGACGTCACGAATGTAACGGAAGCGTTCCATTCTCTCTGCCGAGAGATTGTAGATTTTAAACGAAGGTCAAGGACATTTTTTGAACGGGTGTTTGGTGCATTTGGAAAAGAAAAAGTTACCTCTTGATCAAAAATTTGATCTGTTATATGGCAAACTCATCAACGGACGTTAGATGGTGATACAATATGCTTTCTTTTCAAGAGTCAGATTGTTAGATATGAAATCATCTATCTTTCAAGTTTTTTGCATTGTAAACAATTAGAAAAATGTAAAGTTAAAATTTTCCTTTGTGATTTTACAAAACTTTTGGTGACAACTGATGGCAAAGTTGTTTTATAAAAATGTCTTGTCAGGAAAATACGATGGCGTAATTGTAAGGTAATAGACCGTATTTGAAATAGAAATGGAAAGTGAATTCAGGTGTTGAAAATATAAATGTATTTAAACGGATGTTATTTTTTTTCTCGTAAGTTGATAATTAGAATTAGCTAAACACAATGTTTAAGAATATTACCATAAACATGACAAAACTTGACAACTAAATAATCGTACAAAGCAAGTATGTCAGAAAGTTTCATTAGTTTCTTTCAAATTACATAAGTATGTGTTTTAAACAAATTTGTTTTAGAAATGAAACCTAGTAATATCTTTGTAACCTTGCAAAGATATATTATTTGTTAAGCATTATTAATGATGTTTGATGTTTGGTGTTATGATGTTCTCTGTTATGTAATGTCCAAATTAAAAATTGTTGAAAAACTACTTTTTTATTTGTTGTAAAAGTGTATTAATTTATTATTTTATTATACAAAGTCCTCTAATAGTTCGAAGAAGTATTCCATTATAGTTGCGTTGAAGTTATCATCTTTATTGTCGTTTACGCTTTTTCGATCAAATTTGATTGTTTTCTTTGATAAATTCTCTATATTTTATCCAATTTCTTCCTATTCCATTAACTCAATCAAGTTAGTTTTTTCTATTGAGAAAACATCTGATTGAAATAATTATTTCGTATTGATAACAGTCTTTCTGTCCACTTGAGCTAGTTTTGGCTCAAATCGTTTTATCTTTTCGATTAATCGTTTCCTTTTTATACTATTAAAGAATTATGTCTATTCGCTAGTTTTACTTTAGTAAGGCTCTTTCTATATCTATTCGATTAATCCTTTTCTATATATTCGATGAAACTATGATTCTATGATAAAACTTTGCTTCAATGTTCTTCCTTTATATTTGATTCTTCTATTTTTGTTTGTTGCTTTCGAACAAGTCGCTTGTTTACATTCGATAATACTTTTACTATGTTTTCGATAATGATCATTTGATTTCAAAACATTTATGTTGGCATATCGTTATTATGACAATCATTTGGTACAGTGTTTTACATTTAGACCAGGTAGTCCAAAGATCAATCAAAGACGTAAATTTAACAGATGACTTTCAGACCTAAGATTTAACTGCAATAAATGCTTATTTCTTTTAACATTATACAATGTCATCATAAAGAAATCATACCCTAAGGATGTTATGCTTTATCTTGTATGTCAAGTTGAAAAGCAATTACATCTTTAACAGGAAATTGCTCAGTAAGATTATAGTTTAATTTATAGATTATTTAAGTCTTATCCAATACATGTATTTATAATACAAATACACGTTCAATGAAACTTAAAAAACATGTAAATGTTCATTTTTATAAAGAACTATAGGAGACTAAGTTGTTACAAATATTTTACAGGTATCATAATATACAATCCACGTTAAAACAGTTACATAACCATTACTAATCAAAGTGTGAAACTTACATTACAAATAATTATAGCCGTTTTGGAGAGGAATTACCGATTACATGTCCATGCCTACAATTCAAAGCAGACTTTTAAAGAAACTTTTCGTTAGCTTTAAAAATAACGTTTTTATTTGATGTTTTTATTACGATAAATTAAATTGTTTTTGTATTTGAAACCAATTTCTAAATGAGTAAATTTCTTCTTGCATATATATAAGGCTGGGTTTTGAGCGACGTGGCACCTATTGTACAACAAGCAGTATTGATGTACTTGTTTCATCTAAATAAGTTATCCCTAATAATCTTATTTTCCCACTTTATATTTGTCTTAGACAAATGCACTAACTGAAGATTTCTAGAACAGGTTTATAACGACAACCAAAATATTGATGTAGCAATTACGGCGAAACGTATCATAACACATTTAACATATGATTATTTACACTCTTTTCATTACGTTCTAAGCACTTTCACTTTAGTAAGAGCATTTAGTAGATCTTGCATTACATCTAACGTATAGTTTATGATTTTTTTGCAGTTACAACAGTAATGATGGTGCAATTTTAATCAAGCTGCAAAGTGTTCGCTGATGTTTTCTCCCAAACAAAACCAACCAACATTCAAAATTGAACCTACTAGTACATTGTCTTAATGTTTGCGTAATAGAAGTATTGTGGTTCCATGTTGAATGGTAGAAATAGTGCAATAAACATTACTAATTTTAATATTTAGAGCGTCCCATTAGCGAAAAAGATAAGTTGTTCTCTTTAATCTAAATATGAAATGTTATGTTATAGCTGTATGTTTAGAAACGAATTAACTAATTGTTGATCCTATTTACTAAAGTATTTGCTTGTATCATGCAACCTGACAAAGACCGTGCTTATATATTAATGACATTTCATCTTTAATAAGAGGGCTTTCCAATGGTCTGTTATAACGTCAGCAACACAGACGCAATACCTGTTAAATTAATAAATAAATTTTAACTTGCTTTATTTTCTAGACGATATAAACATTTCACAGTTGAAAATATAAGAAATGTTTAATTTTGAAGAATCAAGTCTGTCAATCATAAATTTTGTCAGAACGGAAAATTTAATAACACATGGTCACTCCTGATACCAATGGTAAATTTCAAGACAGTTTGCTTTATCAATGCTTGTTAAAAAATGTTTAAGAAGTATGAATAGATTAAATGAATAGATAAAACAATTACAACACCACGGCAAACAAATTGAAAACCTTTGATCTTATGATAAGCTAAGTATCCATTTAGGCTTACCACTGGTAAATTTATTATTCTTAAAAAACGCTCCAAAACAGGTACAACATTTCCGAAAGTTTCCAATCTTTGTTTCTTTGTTGGTCCAGTAGAGGTTATATCAAGTTTATGATAAATTATGGAAATTTGTTTAATTTTTATAGCTGTTAAAACGTATCAAAAATGATGATATTCTTTCAAATATGCACGAGCATGCATTCATAAACAAAAGGTTTTATACAAATATTACATAAAGTATAATAGAGTCCTTTGATGCATTCAACAAAAAATATGACAATGTTTAATACAGTATTGCACTACAAAATGACAAGAAGTTTTACATAAGCCAATAGAAAAGCGTGTAATGCTGAATGTGTTCAATTATAAAAGCTAATTTCCTATAATATATCATGCGAATATGATTTAAAACATAACTAGAATGTTTATAAACTATAGCCAATTAAAATATTTACAGATATATTTTTTACCTTTGATGATAAATCCACGTCTAAATACAATTGTTTTATAAAAAAAAAATGAAGCAAAATACAGTGGAACATATATTTGGTGCATTTGTAACTCATAATTAAATTGGACACATAAAATGAATAGGATAATACATTTCTGTAAATTCTTTTCTGAGCGTTGGCATGAACGTGCAGACAAACAACAAAATTGGCAGCATCAAGTGTGCGTTAATTAATAGACTAACATTTTCAGAGTAAAAAGACAAATGCGAGCAATGTTTTGAAAATTGCAATAAAAATTGATGCGAACACTTTTGCTTTTATCTAAATATGCAGTTAGCTGCAGATTTTTTTATTTCTTAAAAAAAACACATAATAATGCCTATATGATTTAATCGTTATTAACAACAAGACCCGCAACCTTTTAAAACACAAATTATAATTGTTAAAAATGTTTTAATGGAACTGTTTGTTTTCAACGACCTCACTGATAAATTTTCTGAAACATTCATTCTATGACTAAGGTGAAGAAAAACAATATATAAGGGCTCAGATAATCAGAACAGCGGTGTCTATGGAATCAACATCTATCACTGTCTACGACCAAAGTTATAATTACGTCTTTGTTTTTTGGTTTTGTGTTAATTTGATTTTTTTCTTTTATTTTCTTTTGCTTTCATCTTAAATTTTGAAATTATAACAAAACATTTTTACAGATAAAGGTGCAAGAAATGGTACAAACCTAGGATATATATTTTAATACTTTTTTTGTACAACATTTCTTTGGCGGGCAACTCATGCTGATGTAGAGACCTCTCACATTCAATGAAGAATTTTTATTGGTGTTCATTGTAGACTCGGTTAGATTGATTGTTTATTATCGACCAGGAAAAGTGCAACATCTTTAGTATCAGAAGAAAATGTGGCCTTTGACATAATGTATATTCGAATTTCGAACAAGATGAATATTGGTTAATTTTCCCCAAATAACGTATAGGAATTTTATGAAGAACATAATCATGTAAGTAAAGATAGAATTGTTGTTACAAACGCATTAACCGAGATCTGATAGTCCTAATTGCAAACAGTTTAGTTAGCAGCAGATTAAATAGATCTACAATATATTAATATTTTGAGAATGGTGCAACAGCATTCAGTGCAAGTGCAACAAGTGCAAAGTTTATTTCTGCTGAAACGTTTGCCAGATTGATACAAAAGCCAAACGGTATAATAGCGCGTTCAGCAAAAAAAAATTACATTAACAGATTAACTTAAATAACATCGTCTCAACGTCAATTTCACAGAATGTGCTACTGTTGAAGTGTAATAACTATTTCCAAAGAAACCAAAAATCACATAAAAAATTAATAATATAAAAGACAAAATGGAAACCTTAACGAGTGCGAAAAAAGATCAAATCTAAAATTCTTACACAACTTCATCTCGTTATTCGTACGAACATAAAAGTTGCAAAACGACTGATAAAGGTTGTATTACATAATAATATAACATGATATAACATACTAATTGAATTTTGCAGATACTAAGATCAGACCATAATTCTTTCATAAGACTAATGGCGTTTTTTGTGTGTTTTTTCCTATCCACCAATTTTATTTCTTATCCATGCATTCTTTTAAAAAATGTAAGGTTACATAAAAATGAAGAAACTACCAATTATCGAGAATGTTATGCAACATTTTATTGCTCTCAGGACATAAAAATGCGTGAATGTAGTTTCTACATAAAACAATAGTTACAAATATCTTGTTAAAGGGGTTAGAAGATATTCTGCTATAGTATCTTTAAAAATATCAATAAACAATCTTTCATTTTATCCTTCAGACAAAAATTGGTATTAACAGCTTCGATCTGTGCGTTAAAATCAATGACATTTTGCCAGAACATTGTAAGATTTCACTTGTATCTTAAGTAGTAAAAAGATGCGTTGTTTAACACAGTCAGTCAAGCATGATTGATAGAGTAAAATATACAGACTTTCACCTGTACGTAGAAAAAAAATATAACTGTAAAAAGGATAATATCACATAGATTTCCTGATTGCCGAGAAAAGTATTTATAATTCCTTATTTAATGAATGAGGTTCAGTCCGGTAGAAATAATCACTAAATGTAATCATTTTGATAATATAATTATTATTTATTTCTTTTGCTCTGTAATTTTCTGATTAAACTTAGTCTATGACCTTGCAGTTAAATGGTGAAATTGTTCATTTTTGATATATTTACAGAA